AATTGACAAAACATCTCCTTTTTTCAATAAAAGTCTAATTTGATGCTTATATAAGAGACTTAATATGTTTTTCATTGTGATTCTCCAATCAAAAATTGTATTCATCAATTTCTACTCTTGCTTGTTTGTATTGTTCAAGGATAAAATTAATACCATATAAAGATATATAGTTGACAATATTGGTGAAGAAACCAATATTATATTGATGAGCAATATTGCTTTATTTTGAACTTTCTTGAGCCTTCAATTCTTTCATTGTATTCTTAAAAAAGTGAAAGAGAGAAATTTAAACTTCTTTAAGGTCTATAGTGGAAATTTTAAGTAAGATTTTAATGCTGAATATTGACCTTCTACTTGTGATGTAATAACACTTCTGAGGTAAAGTAGATTATTTGTCCAAGCTTTAACAAATATCTTCTTATATAATATCCAAGTATTTTTTTAAGTATTCAATACTTAAATGTATTCAGAATACAAATTCATGCATGAATAACAATATGAATGTATTTATTGCAAAGATTAGTCTATTTCAAATCAAAAAGCTCTATAGAATATAGAATCATCACAATGGTTCAATTTGCAAGAAATAAAGACCATCCTAATTCTACTTTTTTGGAAAAGAATTTTTTTATAATTTTCTAATAAATTTTTTTGTATATACTAAATACATAGTAATATGTTTGAAGTAGAAAATGTTAATTCAATAGTATTTATTAATGCTAAATTTTTATCAATAATTATGCAAATAGGTCAAATTTCTCCATGCATTTCTTGAAATTGGATTAATACCCAACAAAAGAAGGATTCTATTTTCTCTTAGATAAAATTGATACTAATAATAAATGAAGTATTAAAAATTATCATCCTTACAACATATAACATTGCTATTCTAAATCTATTCGTCTTATATGTATAATCCATAACAATAGAAAAATGGTACTTTTTTGCAAATTGAACACAATTAAATGTGCAAAAAATAAAGAAGTAACTTTATCCTCCTGATCACAATGATAAGTGAAATGATAATTAGTTCTTTGTAAAGTTTTAATAAGATATAGAATAGGTGATTGTCCAGAAAGTATAATGCAATGTAATTTCTATCGCTCATTGTAAATAGTTTGAGCAATGAATTTGCTATTAGTATTTCTCTCACATAAGGCAAAAATTACATTTTTAGGTGTAATTCTTGGAGCTAACAATTGTGAAGTTAGTTCTTTTTTGGCTAGTTGCAAATAGTGAGGAAATGAATAACCTAAAAGAAAAGTAGTAACTCTATGGTTATGAAGAGTATTTTGAACAATCAAATGTCATTGAGTACTATTATGCAAACGACAAGCATACAACACAAATCGACATCTTATTAGACAACTTGTACTATTTTATTTGTAAGTATGATAATTTTGATCACAGTAATTCTCTCTTCTACCATACTTATAATCAATGTAATCTTTGTCAAAGTATTGTTTATATACTATATAGCCTTGATTGTGTATAAATTCATCAATGCTACATTTCATTTCTTCTATATTTTCAAAATACTCCTCTCATGGTACGCACATATATCTCACTTTTTATTGCAAAATACAAAAAATTATATAATATACAATTCTTTCTCCTTTGTCTACTACACATAATTTGAAAAAGAGTATCTAATAGAATAAGATGAAGAAATAAATTCAATACATACATATTTATAGGACAAGTAAGAAGTGACTAATAGAAAGATGTTATTACTAGCCATTGAAAATTGTTGAGAACTATTAGAAACTATGTCTAGAATGATGTTTCTATTTATCCAAATACAATTTATGGTCTTAATAATGAAGAAGAATTGTACTATCTATGTGAAAAATTGTAATGATGGTTGATTTTTTTTAGTAAAAATTTAGATTGCTTTATCATTTTTCTATATATTTATATATATATATATATATATATATATATACATATATATTATTTTTTTTTTCTTGTCAAAAAAATAAAATATTTATTTTTTATTTTAAAAGATAATATTTTTTTTAACACAAAAACTTCTTACTTGGATGTTATTATGACATGTGTACATATATATATATATATATATATGTATAATCTTCTATTTGGACCAATCTAACACCATATTAATCTTATTTACTATGATGATGTTTTTTTAAAAGATATTTCTAAAAAAAACTTAATTTATTAATTTATATATTTATATATTTTATATAACATTATATTGAAAATAATATCAAATAAATGATGTTTTTGTCATAAGAAACATTCATGATGTAAGGCGGTAAAATAAAACATATATTTAATATTTAAATATTTTGATAATTTATCTTTATATTGTAGATTTTCTTACTTCATTGTATTTCTATTTTTCTTTTCATGATCATCATTTACCTCTAAGTTATTATATAAGAAGAAGAAAAGAAGCAACAACTTTTAAATTCCTTGATTACCTAAAATTAAAAATTTGTATTCTAGTTACTTCATATTTAGAAAACCCAATCCAAAAGTCTTCACAAAAAAAGATGAAGTGGAATAATCTAATATGTCATAGGTAGTGCTTTTTTCTCAGAATTTGCAAATGGTCTATTTCAAGAAATGGTTTTAACAAAAAAAATATATTAAAAATTGTGAAAAATAGCCATTAATTATTATTTTTTAAAAATATATATTTGTCATGATTTTTAGAATCAGATATAAGATATAAGATGATACAATTAGATTTTTAATAAAAGAATTATTTTTTCCATTTCATTTCTATTGTACAGTGAAGACTATCACCACATTGCCAAGGTTTCTAATTTTTTTTTCAATTTATTTAAATAGTGAACTGATTTTTAAAAATATTAAATTAAATTTGTAATAAGAAAATAAAATAATAAAAGAAGATTATTTTTATTTTTAGAAAGCTAAAAATATTACTTACTTAAATAGAAAATATAATTAGAAAAAAATGTAATTTATATTTGTAATCTTAACAAAAAGGTATGAGTGGCATATGGTGGATATCACATTATGGTGGAAGTAACAAAAACAATTGGTGGCATTAGCTATATCTTTTATTAAATCCGTAATTATCTTTTATCATTTTAGAATTTTAGAACTTGGTTATTTATAGTTTATTTGAATTTTCAAAAAAAGTAGAGAATATCCTTCCAAAAAAAATTCAATAACTTTAAATAAGTGCCCCATAATTTCTAAAATATTAGAAATTTTATAATTAATTAATTTATATACATTCAATAATTATTATAAAACTAAATAGAGCTATTTGGATTATTGAAAAAATGATCAAGTCTAGAATTAGATTCTCTGAAAGATTCATAAAACCCTAAACTCTAAACCCTAATCCATTTCTAATCATTATTCTCATCTTATGCAAATTTGCAACTATTTTTCTTACCACAACTTGGATTTATTTTTATATATTTGTCTATTATTTATAACATATAAGTCTTGTAATATCATTGCAATTGTTAATTCTCTATTACACCTTGAAAATTGGATTTTGACATATTTTCTACTTTTACACCTATTTATATTTTCTTCCTCATATTTAGTTGTTTAATATGTTACTTCCATACCTTCTCCTAAATTCCTTGCTAATATTAATCACATCAAAAATCATCACATTTAGAAATGAAGACAAAATAAAAATCAATAGCAACAAAATCTATAAAAATAAATAAAAATAAAATTTACAAAGCTTCCAATTATTCTTTTATAGAAGTTTTCAAGTAGGGGATATTAATAACAATACAAATGTATGTGTAGTATTGAAATTTTAATACTAAAATTCACAAATGAGTTAACAATAAATCAGTCAATAATATGTGTAACTATTTCTTTCAATTGCAATGCTTTGACATGGAAATATACAACATTATTTTACAACAAACCTTGTTTTAATTTTCTAAATGTAAATGCATTAGTTGATAAAAACCAATGTTTAAAATAGTATAATGGTAGTATCTAAGAACTATACTTTGTTATTTCTTTAAAAAATACTGTCTTACATGCTTCAAATAAACATTAGAAATTTCTTCAATGATTGATTTTTCTAGTATGGACATGTTTCCAACAGCGTACGACATTTTATAAATAAGGTCATCTAAACAAACGCCGTCTAATTTAAGTGGTTATGATGAATGAATTCAAACATCAAATGAATCACAAGAAAATACCATTTAATCTAAAAAATCTAACGAAGCGCACAAACCAACAAGGACTTCGTTCATTTGAGCCAAATACATATCCATCCACATTCATGCGGAAGTTGAAGGCCACAACTATGAAGCTGCGACACGGAGCACCGTTCGTGCTTATCCGCTCTGTGGTACTGAATCCAAATTTGTATTTGTATTCATGCTAAGTTCGTGTTCGCAGCGTCGAGCGCAGTTCGGTTCTTCCGTCGAGGTTCAAAGCCTTTCACTAAGGATCCGAAACAAAGGAGATTGGAGCACACAAGACAGAAGCCATGGAGATTGAAGGGGTTGCTTCCCACTCTGAAACCCACCACAATCTCTCTCTCTCTCGGCATGCTTGCACAAGAAGACTATACTGGACACAAGGCTTGGTGAAGCCAAGACCAGCTCTTGGCTACACCAATCCGCAATCTGCTGCCGGTCGATGCTTTCGTTTTCTTCCAAGTGGGGATTCAAAGCGCACTCATGCTCGCCCGTGAGGCGGAGAGCAAATTGCACGCATCAAGGCAGGGAAATGTAAGCTCCTCCGTCGAGGGCGATGTCGTCTCCGGACTGATTCCCATGATGGGGACTGACAGCAGCTGTGAACCACAGCCCCTTGCCGCCAATTTGCACCGAGTGGGTGAAGGCCGCAGTCTTCTGCCTCGACAGGACGCCATTCATCTACTTCATCTACTTGTCCAATTTTGGGTGAAGGCCGCAGTCTTCTGCCTCGACAGGACGCCATTCATCTACTTCATCTACTTGTCCAATTTTGTGTTCGCATTGGGCCCCCTCGGGAGAGGGGAGGGGGGAAGGGGAAAGGGCTGCGCCAGCCAAGGAGGTAGTGCAATACCACGGCGACACTCACGAGTCCGGGCAGCAAGCTGCCGTATGGACCCGTACTCGAGATAAATTAGATTATTATCATGAGGCTTGATGAGCCTCGTATCAAATATTAAGAACAAATACTGCACTCGATCTTCGCTTAAAGGCCGAGAAAGATAAGCCTGACTCCGTTCATTCAGCCCTTTCTTATACCCGACACTCCCCTACAGGCCCGCCAAAGTACATGGTATAACTCGTCGTGAGGCCTGCCTGGAGAAGGGTAGAATTGATTCACGAGCCCAGCAGGCACCTACATCTGCCCCTCTTTCTCAACAATGCCGGTGTGAATCAAGTCATTCATATGAGTATATGCATTCACAGGGCAGGGGTTCAACACGATCTTTCATTCCCACTCTAAAATCTTGTTGCAGTTATAGTTTGTAATGGAAAGAACGTGTTTGTGATTTTATCCAAATCATTCACAATGCTACAAGTTCATTTTCTCTGGAGCAGTTCATCAACTAAAAGAAAATCACACACCAAAAACAAATTTGTCTTCTGTAAGTAAAGTAGCTCTTGCACTTCTTTTTTCTTGCCTACAGAGATACATTTTCCCCCAGTGCACACCAGGTCCAAAGGATGCAAGGTGGTTGAATTGGACGAGTTGTTAGAAACCTTGGCAATGTGGTGCTTACCTTACTAGTGGTGGGAGAAACTATGACAATACATATTTTTGGTGTGAATGAATCTGTTGTTTATGTATTTGTTTCATGCCCACTTCTCTCATCATATGGTTCAAAACACCAGCAGACAGGAGTTATGCAAATGATGTAGTGGAGATTGTTCCCTCAACCAAACATGTTTAATGAAGCAAACACATGGAGTCAATCTTTCAAAGCAAATACTGAAATCTAACACCCGATGTTAATATTATTTTGTGTAGATGGAGGGTGATAGTAGTTGCGGCCGCATCATAATGCCTGACCAGGCTTGCAGAATGAAGTACAATTTGTAGTGTGTGACACCAAATTCGGATCTAGAAAGGTGTAATATGTCACAGTGAGGAGCTCTCTGATTGCGCGCATTTGAATATCTTAACCTCATGTGCCTGATATCCTACTACAAGCTTGACATGCAGAAATAGTAGAACATCAGAATAATTCATTTACTCAGCAGTTTCCAACAGAGGCTAGTGCAGAAATTTCATGTTCACTTTCACAGATGTTGCACAAGCCTACTTGCAAGCTTGTTCTCGTTCACCTGGACAGCCCTGTCTTTCAGTGTAGGCCCACTTCTGCCACATTGTGCTGCTCAAGTCCAATTCTCACATGAACTGCCTGATACACCTTTACTTTCATATCCATCACAGTGTCCAAACTATGGCAGTCATTTGATTGCTTGTCATGCACACCCAAGCTGTTCAACTCCCACACACTCCCACAGCCATGCAAATTGGGCTTATTGGAAACCTCCTATTTTGTACAACTGTGTCACCTCTCCATTCAGGTGCATGGAGGAATTTTGATTCAATTCAATGATTTTGCAAATTTGGAATTCGCTATGTAAATGCATTGTAATCTGCGGTTGGCAAACGACTTTTTCTTTACTAATCAGTAGACCTTGGTAAGGCTTTTGATTTATGGCTTTTCTAAGTGGGGTTCTAGGTATAAAAACCTTCTATGCATACTTTATAACATGAAAGTGTTAAGCATCACAAATTTCAAGTAAATTTGATGGGACCATCAAGAATCAACCCTTAGATTAGATAGTTGAAGGAAATAAATATTTATAATACATATTCATCTAAATAAAGAGTTTGGATAAATACAAATAATCTAGCATGTTATTCTAAGTTAGTTTTTTAAGGTTGATCAAAGGAAGAGTAGACAAAGCAACACATAAAAAAATTCAAACCAAGGGGCATAATATTTTTGTTAATTCATTTGATGTCAATTTGCAAAAAAAATATTCAACCATTGCATTAGGTTTGAACCAAAAACACTATGTATCCATATTTTAATTGTTACTTTTGCATTGTTAAATAATAATAATAATAATAATAATAATAAAATAATAATAATAATAATAACAATAATATTAATGGTTCAAATAAAATTTTAACTCTATTTGTCGTAAATATTAAATTTGTTATAAATTTTTTTGTACAATTGTTTTGATTATATATATATATATATATATATATATGTATATATATAGCTAATCTAAAGAATATTTATATTCAATTAAATGTAGCTTTAAAAGTATATAAGAAATCAAAAGGATTTCATAAATTAATTACATTTTAAAATCCTTGTTTATGTCTTTGAAACATCTTTAAAATGAAGAAAAATTTCTTGAGCATACTCATTGTTTTAGATATGAGGGTTCTAATTTTTTTTCAAAAAGTACTGGCTCTTTGTAACAAAAATTTAACATGATGATACAAACATGTAATCCAACAAAATTTTAGAGATTCATATTTATTGATATACATTTTGTTATTATTGTGAAATTTCAAACAAGAAGCTTTGTAAGAATAGAAGAAGTCTAATAATCTCTACTAGAAGCATTAAATGTTATGCAAGAAATTGGTTGTGCTTTGAGCATAACAAGTTTAAATTTTTTATTGCAATTTTGTATCAAGTATGAGATAGAAAATTGATAATAAATTTCTTTATTTGTAGATCTATTATTAAGAAAATAATTTAATATCTCAAATAGTAGCTTTATGATAAGATACATTTAAAATTATTAAGGTATATTTTTATTTTAAAAAATTACATATTAACTTACAAAATTTTAGATTTATTTAAATATGTAGTTTTTTGTTTTGTATTTTGAATTTTTATATTTATTTTCATTGGTATGTTAGAAGTTCGTAATATTATTTCAATATCTAACCAACTCTTTTAAGATCATTAATAATTTTTAAAGAAACATGCAAAACAAACACATATTTAAAATTAATATGTTTTAGAGTAAACTAATCTTTTTTTATCTTGGTATTATTTTGATTAAATTATAGAATTATAATTAAAATATAAGACTTGCAAAAATTTATGTGCAATATAACAAAAATTATTTATTTCTTAGTTCAATAAAAATGAAATATTACGGATTTTTTTTAAAAAAAAATTAATGAATATACATACTTATAATCTAAAACATTTGAATTTGAACATTTTTAACTTTGAGATAGTTTGGAAAAAGCTTACATTTCTTGAAACACCAAAAGAACAAACACCTTATCATATTTTTCTAAATAAGATTTTATATTTTCTTTGCCTCACTCAACAAGGTACCTGCTCAACCCCAGAAATTGTTTTCAGAATGAGTATTCTAAGGCACTACATGATTCATTCCTATCACGAAGAAAAGAACGAATTCCAAGATGTGGAACAAAGTCTCATAAATGTCTACACACAGTGGCCATTGAGAGGAATTAAAAAACGAACCATTTTGCCCATATGTGCTGCTTGAACAATGCTGTCCACCATTTCTCCAGGGACATATGAGTGCAAGATCTCTGTTGCTAAGTGCAAAACCTGAAGTAAAGATCAACTGAACATTTGTACAGATGAAACAACGCACAATCTATTCTTGAGTAAGTGCGAGAAATCTGTTAAAAGACCATATAAAAAATATAGAATGATACCACAGATTGAAGATTCTTGCACTTTAAAAAGTATAGGGTATCACAGGAATTATCGACATGTACAAAATCAGTGGAAAAGAGAAAGTTCAGCCTTGAAAGTTCTATTCAAAAACATCTAAACGAAAACTATTGTGTCTCTGCCAGATGTTCTGCCAAGTTGTGTAGAAAAGGAACGTCGAAGGGCAAAGTAACAAGTCCAGATGTGACCAGTAATGCCAAAAACCAGAACGGAAAGAGAGAAAATGCCAAACGCACAACGTTGTCCTGCCCTGCAAGATCCCACATCGATTTGTCACGTGTAAACATCAAAAGCATTCAATACCAGAAATAGTGGCCCTTCTCTATAATATTTCACAAGTTTAATTTCACTAATCACGAACAGCGTGATAAGACTACGTACGTTGTCTAAACACTTCGAAAAAGCTGTTCAATTCTCAAGACTGGCAAAACTGTAGGGAAAAAGTGTCTAATATGAAGTAACGAATTCAATAGCACGGAATCGAAGGGTCCCGCATTCTTACCGCCGGTATTTTCAGTTTTGTCGATGAGATACTCGCCAATAACGCGTATTGTCTTAAGAAGCACATTTTCAGGGGGCCGATTTTCCTCGTTTGCGTCAATTTGCTCTTGAAGAACATCCAGCATTGTCATTCGCCTGCCGTATTCAGAGGATCAGCGAAACGCATGACACATGAGAGGACAGGGAAAGGCAGTGTTCAGTGACCAGTAAGTATTCTAAAATTCTACAACAAGTCGACGGAAAAGAATGTCATGACATGCACAGAAACTACATGAACTAACGTGCATAGGAAAGATGGATACAAGAAAGAGATGTTCGCATTGTTTCGAAAGACTTATATTAAAATTCTAGTTGCAAATTTTACAAATTGACTTCCTTTGTCCTATGCCATCACACCTCGACTCCAAAGCTTAGAAAACCTAAATAGAACAGGAGGGGAATTTCAAGAGTAAAATAGGAGGGAAGGTAGAACCAGGAATACACCTCCTCTGCGGCGCTCTCTTGTCAGACGTGACATTCCGCACAGTCTTGCTTTCCAACCCAAGAGCACTCTCTAAGTCCGAAATCTCATCCCTTGGAGATTCTCCTCGCCGCTCACGGTCTTCACCCTCATGCTTCAGTGCTTGAATTGTCAGCCGACACTTCGAACCTCCCCTCCGACTCACTCTTATCGACTTCTGAACGCCATACGAAGTGCTCGTCACAGCGGACAATCTTTGAAGTGGCAGAGGAATGGAACAAACCGCAGAAGCTGACGACATCGTTGTCGCAGCGCTTCATTCAGCAAAGACAACCAAATTCACCTCCTCCACACTCGAACTACAACAAGCAGCTGCGCTACCAGTGAAATTCACATGGGTTGTATTCCAATTCTACAGCACACGACCGAGGCGCAGTGAATGGCTGTTTTATCAGCAGAGGGAAGCTCGAGTGCCAGGCATTTGCTGCGTTGGGTCCTCGTCGAAGCCGAGACGTGAGAGTACGTTTCTTACAGCGACGCAGTGTCGCTGCGAGGAAAGGATTGCGAGGCAATTATAAAGATATTGCAACAATTGAAAAAGAGGATGAAAAGGATCGACGGATGTGCTTTGTCATCCTCCATCTCATCCGCATTCGTTGCCCTTTTATTCGGTGCTGATTCTTGAAAGTCATTCAGTTTTGTCACAAAAACAAAAATAAAACAACATGAAATTTCGATATGTATGGGTCTCCAAGGATCTGGGTAAGATGAATATGTCAAATTTGGGTTTGTTCAAATGAAAAGTTTGTCCAAGTTTCAAAAAAAAATTAAAGTGTTTTTTTAAGTTGGTTGTGCAAGTGTGATTAGGGTAGTTTACAAAAAGTTGCAATGTTATCAAAAAAAAAGAACAAAACAAAACAAAAAAAAATCTTGATAAATTGATGTTTTAACTATAATGAATTTGATGACACCATCTAAAATTAAACTCTGGATTGTTGAGTCGCAAATAACCGCATACATAGTGCAAACGGGATTTTTCAATACACCTAGTTATTGGATACAATTAGGTTTATTAAAGAATCTCTATAATTATTATTATTATTATTATTATTTTCTATCTAAAAACATATAAAGCTCTACTTCTCCTATTATGCTCATAGATTTGTAGATTACATAAGTCTTAGGAAGAACAATTAATAAGTCTCTCTCAGGCTCTTGTTAGAATAGACAATCATTTCTTATATGACAAGACTACCAAGTTTTTTGCACTTCTTTATTTTTGTAATTTCTTCTTACTTCTTTGATACACACTCTTTTTCTTATTACAAAGATCTATCTTCCTTTCTTGCTTCCTTAATCTCCTCTTGTGTAAGCATCTAATGAATCAAATATAAACCTTACTTTGTATATTTTTAGTACAAAACATCTGAAATTATTTGTCCTTCTTGAAAGCTCTAAGATGGTCTATTGGACTTGTTGTTATTATCTTTAGTTCAATAAATAATTAAATAATTTTCTTATCTTTTCAAGTGATGTAACAATTCAAGTCACAAAAAATAAAAAAAATATATTTTAAGATATATATATATATATATATATATATATATGTTTTAAAGTTTATTGCATAGTAATATATTATTTATACTTCATTTTTTTTCTTTTTGCCAAGAGAATTTATAAATCAAAATCATTGAATTTGATAGCTTTAAGATTTATCAATGTTTTAAAGATAGAATGCTAATTTAACTTTTGTGTTGGTTAATCTATCTTGTCAAGAATTCATGGCCTTAAAATGTCAAAATTGTACAATCAATATCTCTTTATATTTATCAATTATTAATTATATATGGTCAAATTTTGATTTCTTTATAAAATTATTGTTGTTTTATAACATGATAGAGTTTTATTTGAAAATGCAATAGTTATTAGTTTAAAAAGAAACATGCATTTAAAAATTAATAGTGTGCTTGTGTTAATTTTTTTTTTTTTGGTGCATATGGAATTCTTATTCAATAATGCTTTTAAAATATAACTTAAATTGTAAGTAGCATAATCTAAATAAAAATCTAAAGATCTTCAATCATACTTTTATTTTGATTGAAAGAAGATTTGTGAAGTAGCATATTTAACACTCATTTGAAGTGACTTTTGACAAGAAAAATTGACCAACATTTATTTGGAATTTGATACTAGTATTATTGACAGTAAGACATACAAAAAATAGAAAACTTCTTACAAACAAACTACAAGATTGTTAATAAATCATAATATTATGATTATTATTATTATTATTATTAATGTATGGATATACAAAAATATTATATTATAAACTGTTGCCAATTGAAAATAAAAATAAAAAAATTGATAAAAATAAGTTTCAACAATGATATTTTTTAAAAATGTATTGTGAGAGGCCAAAATCTATTCATATTTTTAGAAAAAAATAATTGAGCAATAGTATTAGATTTTTTATAACAAAAATTTGTAAAATAAAGACGGTTTTAGATGAATATGTATTGAAATAGACTCTTTCAATACATATTCATCTAGAAAGAGATTAAAAAAGTAAGAATAAAGTATGTGTCTTTATGTCAAGGAGTTGTAAGAAAGTGGATTTCAAAAAATAAGAAGATATTAAAAAGGTAGGAAAACTTAGAAAATTTGGTGGTTTACTTATATAAGAAAGAATTGACTACCCTTGTAAAAACCTAACAAAGAAAGGTTCATCCATAGGATATTCTAACAAAGAGAGGTTCATCCATAGAAACTACATATTTATATTTTTTTAGCAATAAGAAGAAATAAATTTTGAAGCTCATTGAAGAACTTATTATTAAAAGAAGTGATAAGATAGATAAACAATAGATTATAGTACAAATTGTTTTAAAATTTTAATTTTAATTTTAATTTTTTTTGCACATTGCGATATTTTTAAAATAAATCCTATTAGTCTTTAAAACCGTTTTAACAACAAATTTAATCTTTTAAAAACTTCTAGTACTTTTTATAATCTTTTTAAACTTTCCAAATTTCCCAAAAAAATTCTATAATTGTTTTATTAACTTTTTTGAAGAATCAATAGTTCTTAAAATTTTGTTTGAATGAAAGGAAAAAAAAAATACTTATCAAAATCTTGCAAACACATAAGTGGTTGCAATTAATTAATTAATTAATTATTATTTTTTTTTCTTCCTAATTTTAAATCATCTTGTTTTTGATTTTAAATTTTGTTGTACTTATACCTTTTGATCACTTGGTCAGTTGTTCCTAAACCATTCACACAAATTGTTTTCAACAAACCTTGTTACTATATGTTCAACTTAATTACTTTGACTTTCATCAATAAAATAAAATAAATAAAATAAAAAATGCACATCTCCTCAATAATGTCTTAAAAATTAAAAAGGAAAACATTCTATGATTCTTGATTGAAGAAAGTCAGAGTGAACACACACTAAATCTACCTTTGAGTTATAATTCGAGCAACATAGTGTCGAAGTCACACACCACAAAAGCAAAGACTTTGTCAAGAGCCAACATGAAGATCTGACTCACAAGGTAAACAAATCATAGTAAACATGCTTTTAAATTGCTAACTGAGCTTGAAGTACTGGAATCACTCACAACCTCCAAAGAATATTGAACATGGGCAAGCGTAGACATGAAATGCACCCATTCCATGGCTACTGAATGTCTTCACAAGGGCTTCAAGCGAGGTTAGAATCAACATTCAAATTTGAAGTAGAATGAAGATGTTGTAGGTTTTACGAAGGAAAACAGTCCAGCTACGTGCTGAATGGTTCATCTAAAGCAGCATTCGGGAGGCAATGTACCAAGAATGGAATGCCAGACCACCGAAACAGAAGATGTTGGCAAGTGAAGAGAAACCATGAACCATGCCGAAGGTTTTGTTTATCTTTGCCAATTCTGGGTTGGACTTGGCCACCTCGAGGTTCTTCGACCGCCCAACTTCAGATCCAATCCCACTGTCTTTCTCAATCTTATGCCTTTGCTTCATAATCTGCAACGAAAGAAGTGGGCAAGTGTGCTCATAGAACCGTCTCTAATTATGAGGAGCTTAATGGTGATGGCGAAAGTTTCTTCAAAACAGACCAAAGCACATAACAAATTGGGCATTGCAATCAACATCAAGGCCAATGCATCAGAGGTGAATGACAAACCTTGACAGTCAGAGGCTGAAAAACCAACAAGTTGAAAACTACTGTGAAGAGCGACACTCCCAGAGCTACGATCTGTAAGCGCTCTCTTCTCGTGGCACTCAACCAAGGATGAGTGGTAGCCATAGCACTCACGCATAGGGAGCAACACACTGTCAGAAGCTTGAAGTAAGCTGGAAACATTTTGGCTTGCAAGTTGCCGAACTGGTGTCTGGGCAAGTTCCTAGAGTGGCCAACACAAACCAGTAAGAATGAAAAATACGTAGCTGAACTAAAACGAAGGAAACCCTTGAGTCGAAAGAAATTAAAATCCTACCCCTCCAAATGATGATCGAATTTTAAGCAAGCTGCGGTATTATTAGAGACTAGCCATGGGTTGTCCATAAAATCCATAGCAAAATACAGAGTTCGGAAATTCTTTCACGTTGCGGACAAACTCAATACCACCAACCTATGGCTGAAGTCAATAACCAATAATTTGCGGAAGAAAATAACAGAGAATTACGCAGTATGAGACAGGAGCTTGCTTGTTCGCCAAGAAGGTGACAAACCCACAAACCCTCTTTCGAAAACCTAGAGTTAATCAATTTGGGGGAAATCGGCAAACGATAGATTGTAAAAGCAACGATCAAATTTCAGAAAGTGAGATGATGATTTTGAATACATTCAATGTTCTTCTTCGAGAAAATCGAAAACACCATTCCAGCATTTTCGAGGTGGAAGGAAATGAAATGCTACGAAGAGAGGCACTCACTTAAACATGATGATACCTCCGATGAAGGACGCCCAAACAGCTGTTCCAAACGCAGTAGCGAAGCTTAACAAGTGCACCAGCCGGACAATCCCAGACACAGTAACGGCCGCTTGTTCCGCTGCACCAATGTCCGTGACCTGCACCGGATAGAGCACCAGCCCCCCGGCAACGCAGGACATCACCACCACAAGGTTCGTAAACCACCCCATCGTCACAAACTCCGAGCGTTTCTTCTCTAACTTCCCTGAGTACCTGCAAACCTCGCAAAACCTTCACACAGCGCTCGGTACAAATAAAAGAGTATCGAAGTTCCAGAATACTCCGTTTGACGATCTTGCAAAGAAGGTCCCAGAGTCAGACGAGCCCAACCGCCGCATCAGCATTGGTACCTCTGCGCTTTCACATTTATTCATTTCTTTTATTCGATTGTACACATTCCTTCAACGCCAAACGCCATGTAGAACAGAAAACGCTTTTCAGGGAGGGCCAACTTTTTATTTGCGGTAGAAAAGCCCCGAGTAAATCTTAGCTATACTCTCTAAAGTTTGCTTCATGTTACTCCAGGACATGAGTGACGGCTGCTCCGATGCAAAATGTTCACAAGGCCTCTTTACAATGAACCTGTCACGGTAACATCAGTTCTGATGTCTTGAACAAAAAAAAATCAAAATATCTTGGACTTAACATGGGATCAATCGAAACTTGCCATGAGAAAAGCACATGCAAAAGCTTTATATGGTCTCTTTTATTGGGAAGTGTGAGGACCATATTACTTTCGTAGTCGGAACCTTCGAAAGCTGTGGTGGGTTGCAGTTTCGCAGCTCGCATTGCTCAACAAAACACACCACACACTTTGACTGATATGTTTTGGCTATTGAAGCTTTGCAGCATAGTTAGGCGGCGCTCCTAGAAACGATCCGTGAGGGCAGTCTTCTTCATTGCAAATCGTTTTGGAGTATGGATCCGAGGTTGAGCTGTGAAAGGTTTGATGCCTCATACGCATGTCTTATGAGGTTGTTGGCGGGTTGATGGAGGGTTTAAGGAATGACGCTGTTTGATCTCGGCGTTTCTCTCTTCTACAGCCCTAGTGCTGAGATGTTGGTGGGGGTATTATGGGAACTCCCGATTTCATGAATGTTATTCCACTACCGATCAGTGGAGCTACTCTTTGCCCGTTTTCTTTGTCATCTTCGTTTTCAATTACCGTATTCTCGTTATGGGAGCAAGAGTATGGCAGTATAGAAAGAAGACAGGAAGTTGCGGACATTCATCAAGACGTGGATAACGGCTGTGGCGCACTCCACCCAGTTCATCGTTTATTTGAGAAGGGAACGAGAAGGCTTAGCCAAATTTTGGCTGGCCCTTAACAAATTAGATGCATAGTCAGGTAGAGATGGACATGGTAACCTCTTGTTGATCTTACGATACGCTTGCAATGGGTGACATCGGTGTGCTAGTCAAGTGCCCTTGAATAGAGTTCTGAGTCAAGAATGTGCACCCAAAATCGCGTGCTCACTGTCTCGCACGCAACGTCGATCGTCGAATCAGTCATATAGTGTCACTTACAATCAATTTAATTACCCTATTTGCTAGATTGTAGCAGTGTCTTCGAAACAACTGGATTGGTATTGGAGCCGTGCATTGTGCACGGTCTGATATTGAACCAAAAACTTCTAGGGTTTTAATCACACTTGTTTCAAACTCTTTTACAAACGCTATCAATGTTGGCTGGTGGGGCTTGGATAAATTAGACGATGGGGTAGTTTATCTCACGATGTTTCAAGTAACAGTTAGTTCAAAGAGAGTCTAAACCATTGAGTTGATTCTTAAAGGAGCTTTAGGAGAGTCGCAGGAGACCACTTCAGCTAGATTCGAAATTGCAATATCAAAACTAGATCTCTTTGGGAAAGAAGCTTTGGATTTTGCTGATCATAGTTTGGCTCAAGTGATAACCCTAATATAAGAAAAGTTCGTGATACTAATGGATTATGTTATCCTTGTCATATTAATCAACTTGGTGTGATGTCTCTGATGTCATCACTGAAGTCTCTATCAGGTACATAGCGCACTCAACCTAATATAGACTTGTCTTTCATGTAACATGCTGTCAAATCGTTATCAGATGTTGGTATAGATTGGTGTGTTTGCGCTACTCTTTTCTCAAGGAACGAACGTGAGTCATCTACTTCCAGACGACCTCAGAAGTTGCATGAATTGGATTGCTATTGATCTAGTCATTACAGGCAGAGGGAATCTTCAGAATGATAATCTGAATAACCCTCCGATCTATGATACTTGTATCTTCTGGATTCAACCTTGGCTGAAGCTGGGAAAGCATCGCTGAGACAAGCCTCGAACTTTGAGGCTGTTTTCTTCATCTCCTTTTCAGCCGAGAGCCTTCTCGGATTATTTCAACCCTGTGCATTATTCTTTCATAACTGTCTGTTTTTCTGATGAAGTTTTTCTGAACGAACCAAATTCTTTTACCAGACTGGGATTTTGGATAAACTAGTTCTTGCACATGCATTGAATGCAAGGGGATTGTGTGTCAGCTTGTCATGCCTAACTTGCCTGCAGTGTGTTGTACCCCAGAGCAATGTTCTTCATGCAATATCATTCACGCTCTCGCAGGGCCGATCGGAGAGTTTCCTACCGGCCTGAGAGCCACGCGGAGAGAATCATTCGGCTTGAAACCAGCGCAGATATTGCTGCATGTCGGTCGTGCCATTCAACTGTTGGCGATGTACACTCAAATTTAAACCAAAAGATTTTCAATTTTGGATTTTTCCTCAGTTTGGACTTTTGGGTTCCTGGTTACAGATTTCGGGTGTTACCAATCGGCGAATTGATGCCACTATTCATTTGTCACGGTTATGCTTGCTCCCTGCCAAATCATATGGAGAAATTTCAGGTGTACTGGAGAAAAATATCCGTATGCAGCCTCCCCTAGTCGGGATCTCCTTACTCTGATTCTTCTACCTACGCCCATTACTTTGCGGGACGTGAGATCCTTTTGCAAGACAGACGACGCCAGGTGGTGCACCGAGGATGCATTGATCGCACCAGCAAAATCAGGGATCCGTAAAATCCTGGTCACCGCTCTTTGTGTCTACTTGCCTAGTGATCAAGCGGCTCAGTTGATGCTGCTCCAACACTGGACTTGGTGCCTCGCAGCTGGATCCTCCGCTCGCCACTCGTCATTCCTTTAAGATTCTGTTATGTTGGGTGCCATTGCTTGCAAGTGTGGTGCACAGTTGCAGCATGGAGCGAGCCCATAGCTGGTTGCTGCAGCGGCTTTGGCTTCAGCTTTGCTGAGGTTGCTACGGGTGGATTGTCTCTGCCTAGTCAGAGCCAGCATTCAGGTAGGGATTGGTGAAGTCCCTTCCTTTTGCCTCCCTTTCTTCCTTGCTGTGCTTGTAACTTGTTGCTGTGCCTTATCTATTGCTTCTAATCTTTTGTTTGTTTACATGTGTGTTTATATATACATATATATATATATATATACACATGTGCGTGTGTGTATATATGTATACATGTATGTACACACACACATGTGTGTGGATCTCTGTGTATGTATCTGTTAAGGAGGCTGGATCTAATGTTGATTTTTCTTTTTGCATCTTTTTATACCGGGTTTCGCATTTGATTCAACCACTTAAGCATCTCTTCTCGATTGACCTTCAATTCAAAGGTGGCTCATCTAAGAACGTTGTGTTTGGATGTCTGGTTTTGTAACTGGTGCAAAACTCGTGGAGGAGTTTAGCTATGAACACAGATTTTGCATGTTAATTGGCACTGCCGTTATTTTAGAGGCTTTTGTTTAAGGATGTATGCATGCAAATATATTTATATATATATATATATATATATACAACTAGCCGTATGTTGAAGTCAATCAAAGACGTATTTTTATGTGACATATCACTTTTTAAAATGGGAAAGAAATGTGTAGCCTTTAAGGATTTAAATCGTCAACATTAATTTCTCCTAAATCATCATCTTAAAAATCGTTTTTTTTTAATGCTTCTTTGGTTTAAATAGTTTGAATTTATACTAATATAACTAATTTTGAATTGATTAAATATAATACTTTATTTATAAGGTATAAATTAAAGAGAGCACAAAATAGGTAGTTTAATTGTTTGAATTATTTTATTTCTTAAAAATAAAGAAATAAAGATAATTCCGAATTATTTAGGATAATAAATATACTTTAGTTAGAAAAACACACAATATGAATTGGATTTTATTTAAATATTGAATATCAAATACCCAAAATAATATAAAATTTTGATAATTTTGTATCAAATTATATATTTGAAAATAGCTTTTCAATGAAAAATATATTCAATATTCTTTTTTAAAAAATATATTTCATATATTATACATCAAATAATAATTTGTAAAGTTTACAAAGTTCATTATACATATCATAAAGCTTATGAAGTTTATAAAAATTCAATCTCATATTCTTAATCTTAGGTATGTGTGTATGAAAGTATATACATGCTAATATTAGATTATCAAAGTTACAAAAATATACCATAACGAGCAATAAGAATTTACTAAATTTAAAATTTATAAGATAAAAATATAGTGACATGCTTCAAGCACAAAGTAGCCTTGCAGTATTCAAAGAAGACAGAATTACATATTAAAATAAAATTCCTTAAATTAAACTTATATCTTACAAGACTATCCAAAAATTACCATAAACCAAAACAACATAAAAAAACTTTAGTCATCATGTACATGGTTTTAATAAATAATGAATCTTATTTTCAGAAGATATAATTATTAATATTTTAAATATAATTTTGTACTACCTGTAAGGAATTGCGGGTTTTAAAAAATAAAAATAAATACACTATAAAAAACCACACCGAATTTCACTTCATTTTTAATTTTAATTTTTTTCTTTTCGAGGTGCACTATTTCCCTGAAAATGAAAACCACGCTTATAAGTTAATACTTTTTCCTTTCCGTTCACGAACCCCTAAAAGTGGATTCCAAAAAGTAAACCAAAAAGTAAACAGGAAAAAAGGAAAAAGTGAAGGGGTGACAAGGAAGAGAGACTTCGGCGGGGGCCGATGGCCGCGGAGGGACGTCAAGGGGGGGAGCTCGCGGCAGCGGCGCGCCAGATCAGGAGGCCCATCGAAGAAGGCGCGGGATGGGCCTCCGCTTCCTTTCGCCCCCGAATTCTCGCGCTTCACCGGCATACCGATTTTAGAAACCATGTCCACGAGCCCACTTCTCCCAGATTTACCCACGTGTCTGACGCCCGCCCTTTTTTCACAGATGCCCCCACGAAGCACAGGACGCACCATCCTACGTCCCTCGCTGCTGCTTCTTTTACAGACTCGCCCCGCAATCGCGGTTTTTTTCTTCATCACGTCCCGCGTTCCAGTCGTCGATCCCATTGCCTTAACGCAGAGTCGCGGCGACGCTGATTTGCTTGTGTTCATGCACGTACCCACTAGCAGGAACAGTAGCACAGCAGTCTTCTAGCCTTCAAGCCGCGGTTGACGTCAGTAGGCTGTGGGATGAGAACCATTCCGTCGGTTAGAGCTTGTGGGTGCTGAGGCTATCATGAGAATGGCTGGAGTCCCAGGGTAGTCTTCCGTCGTGGTTGTCATGCCGTCCAAGCCATCGTTCCCGCAGCCCTCTCCTCTCTTGCTTCCACTGTCTGCTCCCACAATGGACTCTCACTCCGACGACGTGCAGACGCCAACTCCAGGTCGGCGATTCCGACGGTTTGTCTTGCATGCAAGTCGAAGTGATGAATGAGTGTTTAGTGCTTTGAAAGCTGATACTCTTTGCGAGTTCTGCATGTTTTGGAATTTCGTTAGTGGTGACACAGTGTTGCTTTGTTTTTGAATTACGGTTTTTGAAATGATTTGGAGGAGTGTGTTTTTTTTGGAGGGAGCAGATAATTCAGGTTCGAAAAGAAAACGGAGGTCTGTAGATGAAGGTAGCACTACCGACGAAGAAGGAGACGTGTCGAAGACGCTGTATGAATGCAGGTTCTGTAACATGCGGTTTGCGAAGTCGCAAGCCCTGGGGGGACACATGAATCGACACCGACAAGGTGACGAGATTTTATACGAACTAATTTTTCGAATCCGTTCATAGAGTTCTCTTCGATTACTTTCTATCCTTCAAGGTCTGTTGGTATTTTCTCGAATCAATTGCACAGCATGGACAACATGAAAATGAAAACTAAATTAAAAAAACATAGAAGAAGAAGGAGAAGAAGCCTTACATAAAAATAAACGATAGTATCATGGTAATGCATAGAAAAGATGAGGTGGACAGTCAAGGGGAGTTTCAAATATTTGCGATTTGCATTCAGCGTATGAGAAACTTTTTCCCTTGTCACTAAAGAATTCTTCGCCATTCTCCATGTGGATTCTGCTTCATCAGAAAGAGAAAAGGAGCAATATCAGCATGCACAACAGCTGGTCAGCTCAATGGCGCAGCAGCAGCAGATGCCGCGGACGTGGACTTCGTAAGTACTTGAAACTTGATTCTGAAACTTGCTTTGAATTCTCCTTTTTAGGTTTGTACCTGGTTTCCTCACTGAATCACGTGTCGCATGTCGGAGCTTGATTTTCACAGGATGGCAGCAGAATTAAACCCATTAAGCGCAGGAGTGGCTCTGGCGCGATTGAGCACGCAACTCACGGCAAATCCTCGGCCAGACGGATCCCGATCCCAAATCCCACCGCAGATTAGTTTTAACTCGACGCCGCCACCAATCAACATGAGCTCCAGCTCTTCTATACCTTCGTCCATGTCCTCCAGTTACTTCTTCCCTTCCAGCTCATCCTCCAATAACCTGCATCATCTGCAATGGAATGTCGATGAGTTCAACACAACCATTCCAAGGTCGGGTTCACAGGAAGGTCTCAATGTGATGGACTTTTCCTTACAAGGGACCAGCCTGCGTGATGACTTCCTTTCAGATGTGCTTCAGTCCCGCCAAGATGGAGGGTCATTCATGGGCTCTCAGTTTAGTAATATGCCGCCATTGATGTCGCGAGGGTTGTCCAGCGTTGAAACTGGTTCATTCTACAGCGGGGGCGAAGAATCTGTCCAAGAAAAGTCAGGAACTGCAGGTAATAACCAAGTTTTCAAATGGTGTTTTCTATCGTCTATCTCGAACTATTCTGAAACTCCATTGAGAAGTTGTGATCAGCGGTGATGATTTTTCTTTAATTTATTGGGGAATAATAATCTAATATTATTATGTATGATTATTTTTCCTTACGCGATGTGTCTTGCAGGGTTACAATTTGACAACAATCACTCGAGTTTGCAGCAATCATCGATTCGAATGAACGGCATGCTACAGCATTCCACCTGCTCAAGCTCGCCGCTGCATTCCTCTCTTATGAACAGCGACATTCACCACGATGCGAAGTCGCTAGCAAATTCCTTCGCCAGGGTCCGCACGTCGGCCCCAGGTCACACATTTTTGATGCAGTGCAACGACACAGTCGAGTTCAATTAACTTCAGCAGGTGGACCGACCCTCCAACACACCCTCAAGCCAGTCTCCCATGAGCCACACCTTCCTTGTCCCAAAAGGACGCGAGATTGGTGCCAGGCAGGAGCGTCGGTGCGTCTGCGGCGCATGCAAGCCATGCATGCTGGGAAAAATTGTCAGGCGACGACCGATTGTCACCTGCCACTGAACTAAGACACGAGGGTTCGACAGCACTGATAGAACCTCCTTCACGGACAGTAATCAGTCGCAGTCGATGAGCGCAAACAGCCACTTACAAGGCTCCTGATGGGGATCACCGCGAGGCCGCGATCGAGGCAGTAATCCCCCACTGATTTCATCACCGCAACACTGCCAGTCAGTCTTATATCCGTGGTCAATTCCTGCGCTATTTGACGATCGCCACCATGCAGGTGGTAGCCGCAGCGATCTAGACAGTTAGGGAATTGGCAGTGGCTCAACTTGATGAAGTCCATGACTGATTCGTCGTGAGCGCCGGAGGAACGTCGTCGCCGTGTCTTCGGTAGCGTGTCTAGAAATTTCGGTCTGCGTTTTAGTAGAGGATAGGATCGCCGGGGAGATGTTCGATGCGCTTGTGCACTAGTAGATTCCCCTGCGTGGGGCAGGCTATAGCTCGGCTGTGGATCAGTGGCTGCGTCCGCGGCGTTAGCAATGGCTCACCCGGTTCGCGCTTTTTTGTATGATGGAGTTCAGAAATTAGGGTTTCGATTCCTTCCACTTTGTCTTTTCAGCTATCCAGTGTGAAGGATCTGGCCTGCAGTTGTTGTTAATGTTTCATTTTGTCTCGAGTTACCATTTCAATGTGGATTTCTGATTTTAGTTCTGACTCGCGTTTTTATTGAGTATAAAATGGGTCTACTTTATCTTCACCCTTGTAGACAATCTTGTGATGAAAATCTGGTACATTTTCCAAAAGTTTATTGTGTTGTAGGCGTAAAAATATTGCACAATTATTTCAATTAATGAACTAATCAAACATTACACAGTTCTTGCAATTACTATACCACAATGAAGAAAACCTAAAAGAGGCAAACTTGAAAATAGTATATCAAAGATTCAACGCAAAGGTTGTTGAATGAGGTACAACATGCAAAGCCCTGAAAAAAATAAAAAAATAAAAAATAGTTTGTGATGTGCTAAAACACTAGGAAAATTTAGCCTATAATATACAAGGAAAAATTACATTTATTATTAATTTAATATTTTTTTCTTACCACTAAAATGGAAGAACATATTTCATACATAATTATAGATTAAATAAAGTGAGGATGTTAATTTTTTGATATTTTTGAGGAAGAGGCACTATTTGTTGGACAGAATTATAATGATGAAACACTCCAATTCATAATAAGCAAAACAAAGAGCCAACTTTTTTTAATGAATAAGAAACTAATTTGTTGCAACCTTTTTCAATTTGGTGGGGGTGATATCAAATTATATTTATAAATTTTGTGACAAATCTTAGAAAATTCTAAAGGTATAATGCAATTCTAGTGATGGTCAACTACTTAAAGAACCTGCTTTAGTTTGGAAAATTGAGAAAATACTTTCTAATCCCTGTTAGAAAAACCATGTTACTAAGACTTATCATCATAAACTGAAAACACAAAATCACAAGCACATTATGTAAAAAAATGTTCAAAAATATTTAAATTTGATTGAGATATTACCAAAAACATGATTTGTCAAACAAATGGACAAATGAATTGGATCCATGAACTTATGAATCAATAGTTTAGGATCTTTGTTAACATAAAACCAAAAAGTTTGGATATTATACATGAAAATAGCAAAATTAAGTATGATGCAACAAATACATTTGGCTGTTGGAAAAATTTCATTCAAGAAAAGGATAAAATTGTATTTATCGCTTACTTTCTGGTGATACAACTAAAGCATCTTCTGGTAGCAAAAACAACCAATCTCCAAAATTTCCAGCTTCATTTCTGGAAACCATTTTTTGACCGATCCTGCTTCCTGTGCCACGTATTTATTGAAAATTCCAACCTGCATCTCCATCATAAATGCAGGACCATGTTGTGTACAACTTTTATACAACAAAATATGTGTTGCAACTATTGCATCAAGTAATGGACCCACTTGTCTAAAATGCTTTCTGTCCCATACCAGGGTCTCTCGTTAGAAGCTCCAACAGGGGAGTGGTAAACACCTTCAAAGGTCAGGTTCTCTGCGCCATCCAAGTGGGCGGACATTTCTGGGACAACCCCGTCTCCCCAAACATCGGCTTGCCCACAAACCTGCAGAACCAACAAAATACCAACATGTATTTAGTGATACCGAAAAATTCTGAAGCGTAATTAGGAAACCATTTTCATTTATGCATAAATGAGATCCTTTCAGCCAGAGAATAATGTGGAGATGGTGGTCCACGTGCCTGTTTGTAACCTTGTCCAACAATGCGCGCTCTAAGTGTAGGAGGGGCTGGCTTCACTGCACCATCTACTATCACCTCACCAACCCCTGCCTCCAAGTTTTCATCTTCTGCTGCAGAAACAGCAACGCTGCCGTCTGAAACGCCAACAGTTCCCAGACCAGTTGGCGCCACAGCTGCTGCATTATTTGGGAAGAGTCTGCTGCCTTTCAAGTACCTGCACGCAGAACCATACATGCAATATTAAAGAATATGGCTTTATGTTGTTCACTTTAAAGAAACTTGAATACCATCAAAACACTAAGCGTACGAGACGATTCTCAGGTATCAGGGCACCCGGTTTTGCATTTAAATACAACATTGAACCTTGAAACCAAAATAGCTACTGATGACTCGACATACATTCCTCGGTTTCAAAAGTTTCAAGCCTAGTTCATAGCATTTATGTAACTTCACCGCAGTCAAGGACTTGTACCTGCCTGCAATGCAAACATACTTCACGTCAGGTGCATGAAATGCACCTGGACAATTCTCTTCGACGTAATATAGAAGCCCTCTTGTTTGATCTACGACCCCAGGTACGTCCCTGGGGGGAGGCCTGCATTCAAACATCAAGCGTGAGCATAAAATTCAAAAACAATGAAGGTTCAAAAGAACTATGAACCAATGCGTGGCTGTACCTCATTAGCATTATAATAATTTAAGTGCTGATTCGCTTGTGTTGTGAGGCGACAAAGTCAACCAGACTGGGGACGAAGAATAGTGGATACAGAGTATATGTCACTTCCAAAAGAACTTGATTACAATAAAAGCAGGTTTAAAGTCACCGGTTGCCGAACATACAAGTGAGGGCTCCCAAGACTCAGAAATAATGCAATGTCTTTGGTCCCAAAATCTGCCATGTACACACGCCCTAACCACCCACCAGCTGAATGTGCTATCACTGATACCTTTCCTGTCTCTGTTACAAATTGCAAATAAGTGGAATCAATTTGAAGAAAGTTGGGATCAAACGAAATAACCAAAGCTTAAGAGAGCAAAAGTCTAGGGATGTCTCAATAAAGAAAGAACCAGAAGCACTGAAGAACTTCGAGACACATACCAGGAGCCAGAGCCATGGCTTCTTCAATCGCATTTTTCATCCTCTCCAAATACCTGCCACGAAACCATATCAATTTTTTGAATTTTAAGGCAAAATACCGTGCATTTCCGACAGATATGGTTGAGCATGTTAAAAAATCACATGCAAGCACAGGTATGCAAAACTACTCACCAGTCAAGTGTGGGCCTGGGTTGAAGTGTTCCTTTCCAGTAATTGCCATCGAGAAGTCCAGAAGCATTCCGCAGCCAATCAGGACGAGAAACTTTCGCAGTTACAGCGGTGATTCCACGGGCTGCGAGAGATGCAACAAGCTCGTCGTAATCACCTGTATTGTTTCCTAAGCCCTGCAACCATCACCTCACGTGTCAAAACCATATGACAGATACAATGTTCGCCATTGCCTGATAGAGTATGGTACACTTGAATACTGGACTTCCGTTTCTCATAAAAGTCTCAACGCAATATGAGCTACATTGCAGACAGAAATTAATCTCCCTCTTAAAGAAATTCTCTGTACGAATGCTGTGGACGATGACCAAGGACTTCAAATTCAATGCCGAGTAATCGCTCGGCAGATTTTCCTGTTTTAGAGCAGGTGTGCGCTGCCAGGCTGTTTGATTGGGAGACCAATAAGATTACAAGCTACACCACTGCGCTGCGCAAATTTTACTTTTGGCGAGATTCGATTCAATTAATCAGTTCAATCAAAGAAACAAGTTAAAAAATTACAAAAAAAAGAAAAAGAGACAAACAAACACACAAGAATAAAGACTGAATCCAACTAGACTAGACTGACATTGCATTGTCGTCAAATTTCAGCCACCGCCCAAGAAAACCAACCAAAGACACGCGCAACCACTCGTATTATTACACGCTCAACACACTAGGGGGCAAATATGGCCAACTCAAGAAAATTCATCATCAGCGGTAAAAATCACGCACCGGGAGAAGCACGACAGGGCGGTATGACGTCTTCGGTTTCACCTCAGATGCCTTCCGCTCCGCATCTCCACTCACAGACACCGCTCTAATCTTCAACGACCAACGCATCCCAATCCCATTACACGAAGTGGAAAAAAATGGCTTGCACTCCCTGAAACGAAAATCACCGGGCCTGGGAAGCGCTGCAACGAGGCGCTGCCTAGGATTGGGGCTTGTGGTGAAGAATTCGAGGAGCGGGGAAGGCGCAGTGGCGAGGTGTAACGACGCCATAGCCATTTCCAGCAGAGCGAGCAACGAGGCAAATCCAAAGTCCTCACGCCGATGGCTCTGCTTCATACACACCCTCTTTTCATTCGTTTGATATATTCTAATCCTTCTTCTGTTCGTTCAATCATCTCCTCTGTCCAGTAATTTCCACAGATGCGTTTGGTTGGATATCTTTGCTGCTGGAAATTGATGTCTTGAAAAATTAATTTATAATAAGATAAAAAAATAAATGGATGAAAATATGATTTTATTTTTTTAGAATAAAATTTATTTATATTCACATGAATAAAAAAATAGAAATTTCATGACATTCATGAACATAATGTTTACTAAATAAATGTAATTGTGTGCATAATCTATCAACATTTATGTTTTAAAAATTACATTCGATAAGTTATTCTATTTGATATACATAAAAATATTTTTAAATTTTTTTTTTGTAATTTTTAGAGAGGTAAATTTTTATTTATAAATTATTTTAAAGATTAAATAAAATTTAACCGAATTTTTTTATAGTTTGTAAAGCAATGTGTTATAGTGGAGAAATAAATTATATAGAACAAGCATTGGAGGCGTTATTTTTCTTTACAAGTAATATGTCAAAGTAAGTTTTTAATGCCTATTAGTTTATAACATAACAATAACTTATTATCTCTTCTTATTTATTTGTTAGATTGAAATATAAAGTCAAATTAGAATCTATACAAAAAACTTTAATGGTTTAATTTTCATTATCTTTGTCTCCTGAGCAATTACCATTGGTGCTTTTTGGTCTAAAAAGTCGTTCTTTAATATCCATAAAGAACTATTTTGAGCACCTATCTCCCTTTGATTTTCACCCAATATGTGATTTAACCTTAATACCTTCTTTCTTCTACTTTTGCAATTGGATTAATTTCTTTTTAACTTGTCTTCTTATTAAATTTAAATATATTGATAATTAGCTTGTAGCTTCATTTGGACAAATACTGGACTTCATTTAATTTTATCTTTGTACTTAGTTTATTTGATAAGCTTTGTATTTACAATTTTTTTGTAAAATCTATGTTTTGTTTTATTTTATTTTATTAAAAAAAGAGCTATGTGGATGACATGATTATCATATCTTTCTTAATTGTGCTAAAATCCTTAGATCTTTGAAGAAATAAGCATTATTTTTATATGTTGATAGTTTTTGAAGAGATTAGTAGAATTAAATTAAAAATTTCATAAATAAAAGATTCAACTAAGTTTATTTTTTATATTAATATTTTTTTAATTAAAAAATAATAATTAATTAAAAAACCATCAAGTCTTTTTAGAACTCAAATCTCTTTGTTATAACTATTCTTTATAAAATTGACTTATTTTCAATGCATGAAAGAGTTCTTCAAATAGATGCAAAGTTTTAAGTTCTTATGTATTGACTTTGTTCTTAACTATAATTTTTACGCATTTAGATGAACTGTCTTAAGATTATTTAATCATAATTTTATCTCTTTCTAATATCTATTGGATGTTGCTAGGAATTATATCTACTATATTTGCTTATATCTTGTTTTTTTCTTTATACTTATTTAAATATAAATGTTGGTTTCTTACATATATTTTTAAAGATTAAAAAAAAAAAATCCTTTTAAATTTTTTATTCTTAAAAGATCTAATATTCTCTATTATTTTGAAGAGCCAAATTAATACCTGCAAGAAATGCAAAGAAGTTGAGGAGGTAGCTTGGTTTCTTGCAAAGAAAGAAAAGAAGGAGTGTTTAGAAGTAGAACTCTTAGAAGATATTTTTATATTAGACTTTGGTTATATTAGGTTTTTTTCTTTAGTAATGATAATGTTTCAAGTGAAATTCTACTCTTGTAAATTTAAGAGTTTTTGTTTTAGATTTTGTTTTGTCAACTTCTTCTTGAATAATTGAATTGAAGGCGATTGAATTTTAAGTAGGTTGAGGTCTTAGAAATTGGACTTTGAGAGGTAGTTAGGATTTCTAAGATCTTTAGTAATCTACTAATTGGATTGGAATAAAATTTGTGTTTAAAAATAATAGACTTAATTTTCTACACATATGTGAAATTTGAGAATAATCGAATGATTTGATAAGGAGATATTGGTGCTAGAAATTCAACATTCAGATTGGAGTTGGAGGCCTGCCAACACCTGAGCATATTTTACAGTTTTTCTTTCATTTGATAAGTGCAATTATCTTCAAATTTTGTATACTTATTTCCAACTTAGTTATTGAAAGGTATATAAATTTTTAAGCAAGATCAATAATTCAATTGATAGATATTGAGGTTCTAAAATGTATTAGGGTTTGATTTAAGGTTTAGAATTTATCTAGGCTTTGATTTAAAGTTTAGGATTTATCTAGGGTTTGATTTAGGGTTTGATTTAGGATCTAGAATTTGATCTAGGATTTGGTTTAGGATTAACAATTTGTCTATGGTTGATTTAGGATTTGATTTAGGATTTAGTTTAGAATATAGGATTTAAGATTTTTCTAGGATTTGATTGAATTCTATTAGGGTTTTAATTAGGATTAAACTAGAACTTGGTTGAGATTTATTTAAGATATATTTATGATTATTCTAATATTTTTTAGAACTTCTTATGGATTCTTTTTAGGTTTATTACAGATTTTCTTTCAACTCCTTTAAGATTTCTTATTGCTTCATTTGTAATTTCTTTAAGTTTTCTTTTGAACTTGATTAAAGCTTGTTTAATATTTTTAAGGTTTAATTAGACTTTATTTTATATTCTATTAGAATTAAAATTTTGTTGTTACAATTTTTATTCTATCTTCTATAGTCAGGTGCCCAATGCATTCTTGAGCAAGAATTCATATAATACGACACTGTTACCACTACATATAGTCCAAATTATTGTTTCGAAAACTTCTACAAAGCACTATGTTGATTATACAAACTATTTTCATAAACAAGTATCATCTTTTGTAACCTTTCTAACCTCACCTTTCGTAACCTTTCTAATGCTAGTTCCACATCTTTTGATATTTGTTGAAGTTGCCAAATTTTAATAAGTAACAATTCTTTTCTTGTCAATCTATCTTCTTATCGTAGTATACTCTAAGTTGGTATATGTTCTTTAATTGGCATAATTGATTTTTGACCTGTCATGAGTTCTATGGACATATATCTTCTCGTTGAACTATGTATTATTCAATCTGCTTATAATGCATAAAGTAAAAATTGAGGCCATTCTCTCACTATTCCATTGTAAGATTTAATCAAATCTTTTACAATTGATAGATGTCTACATTCATTCTTTGCATTCTCTTCTAGATTATAAGCAATGATCAATGATAATTTAATCCCAAATCTCTTAAAGAATTCACGAGCTTCATATGCATCTAATTTTTCACGATCTGCAGTGATTTTTCTCACACATCCATAGTAACAAATAACATCCTCAAGTAAAAACCTACAAATTCCTTCTATGGACTTTGTTCTTAGTGCCTTACTATCTACTTGGTTTAATAAATCTTCATGAGTCAAAATTAAATATCTCATTTGTCATAGTCTTATCAGTATAATAATCAAATCTACAATCCATTTAAAATGAATAGCCAAAGGATATGTCAGATATAAACCATTTCGATGTTGTATATTTGAATACATTTGATAAGTTACACAAGATTTTATAAATGAAGTTATATCTCAATTTATATTCTTTTACTAATATTCTTCTTTCAATTTAGTAAAAGTAGTCCAAATTCCTCTATGTCCTGCCAATAGACTATCATAAAACTCCTTGAGTAGTCTTTGTTGATCTTCTTTGGTACCTATTATTCATCATGGCATCTCAATATTTGATTTTGGCCTCTTCCATAGAAATCTTCTTTGTAATATAAATCAATATGTTTTTTTTCCTGATTTATTTAAATTTTTCAATCAACCAATTAGTATGTTTAGTTAAAGTCCTCAAATAATGTCTAATATCTAATAATCCTTCTTCATAATTTTCTTCATAAAATGGCTTATCTTTCTTGTTCAATTGTATAACCAAATAAAATTTTGTATCTACATCATCAATATCTTTAATCATCTCATCTTCTTTATCATATATTGCTTGAAATAACATATCTGCTACCAGATTGACTTTTTTTGTAATATGCCTAAAATCTAGATTTAATGACTTGATATAAGAAATCCATTTCAACATTGTAATATCTAAAATTGTATAATTAATAATCATTCTAAGTTAAGGCAAAAAATTGGTTTCAATTACCACCATTGTTTCAATTAAAAAATCTTTTTCAACTTTCATAGCTAAAACAACTCCCTATAATTTCCTTTTCACTTGTAAATATGCACGTTGGTAAATACTTAAAACCTTAGCTCCAAATTGCACTGTAAATTTGTATCCATTTGAATCATCTCGATCTATAGTCCATCTAATGGCAATTTGATTAGTATGCATTGTAAGAATTATTGGTCTATTGTGCTTATAATCAATATTTTTCAACATTGGAGATAATGTCAATAATCTCTTCAATCTTTGCATTGCTTTAATATGATTTTTTTTCCATTTAAACCAATATCTCTTGTATAACAATTCATATAATGGATCTACTATGTGAGTATAGTGAGGAATCCAAATATGATAAAATATATATGCACCTAAAAACCTACAAACCTTTGTTAAAGAATTCCAAATCTCGTTTATTCTTCTAATTGCATCAACCTTGGTTCGATTTGATTTTTTTCTATAAAGTCCACATAAATGTCTTACAATTATGACCTCTTGTACTCCAAATGTAGATTTTGCACTCAATAATATAAGATGAACTTTCTCAAGCCAAGTCAATATTTTTTTACAATCTTGTAAATAATCAATAATATACTTGCAACATCCCTTCTTATCTAAAATTTCATCCTTGTCTTCTTTTTTATACCTCTTAATAGGAACATCATTTATAAAAGGCATAGTCTTTTCAAGAATAAAATCCCTCAATACATTTTTCATTCCGTTCATCATATGCGCAATTGAGTTAGTTGCACCTTAAGGAAGAATATACATTCTAACTAGTCCAAGTAGTATTTTT